CCAAACTTGCAGATATCAATACTGCAAAAAACCTTTAACCTGCTCTTTTAGAAAATTGCATCTCTTTTAAAACCAATAATACTACAACAAAAGGCAGTGATGTGCTTTTGAAAGAACCTAATTTTGTTAATTAACTATCAGTAGCCGAGTAAACAGTGTCTTTTTCTCTTATGACCTTAACAGATTCGTATATTTTAAAATTTTTTTCTCTTCTTTATCACGCTAAAAAAAATTCTGAATTTAAAATTCAATTTAAATTAAAAGAACAGAAAGTTATGATGCATTTGATAGCAGCAAAAGTAACAACTACTTTCTAGTAAATTATGAAACTATTGAAAAACAAAGTGGCCATAAATACCATAGAAACTGCAAAAAAAAATGCATGGTAACAATCCAAATAAATAGCCCTTAACGAAAATTCCTTTCCTTTTCTTCCTTAAATATATATATCAATTTGCAAACACAAATATATAAAAGACTTCAGATGAGCTTTCATAAACAAACGCCTTTTTGAATTGTTAGCACGCATGTATCTTTAAAATCCGAGGAATGAAAATGATGCATATTCAATGAACGGATATCCTCAACTTACTGGCATCAACATAACCATAATTAATATACTGTTTCCATTGCAGTCATCAGTTTATAATATTACTAGCTTGTATTAATTCATCTCAGAAATTAATACACCAGATAATGCCACTTCAATCAAATTTCCATCTCTTTACCCCTCAATTCATATCAATCGAATAAATCTCCATTTAATCGAACCAGGTGTTCCACGAGTTCTAAAACTAAATCCGCTGTAATAGTCCCTTTTCAGTGCCTTGTTCAAAACTCTAATTTATAATAGTGCCCTTACTTCTGCTAATCTTGCAAATAACTCCCTCTTCTGCCAGCAATAAAGCCCTACATCAAAACTATCATGTATGCTCATGCAATTTTCTCCACCAAACAAAGAACTTTACCAAGCTCTTTTCAAATTTTCTCTTCAACTAAACACATACATCCCCAGGATCTCGCAAAAAAATAAATATACCACTAATTCCGCTAATTTGCCTAACGACTAAGACCATGATAGCTTATTAAAACTCAATCTTAAAACAACACACAACGCTTTTAAAGTACGGTTCAAATAATAACCAAAGTTTGAATGAATGCACAAAAATTTTTAATCCACAGCGTGAGAACTAACACAAAAAAACAATCACTCCGTCCTCTATTTCAAAAAACAAAAAAAAAAAACAAAAACAAAAAAAAAAAAACCTGCAGTCAAACGACTAAATCAAAAAAAAGAAAAATCACAAATACCACTAGTAAACCAAAAGTTCAAAATTTCACTCACTAATTTATTTTACAAAACTAAAAGATTAGATCCATTCAAGTCCAAAAGAAGAAAATTTGCTCGGAATACTACTTTACAAATCCCTCCTAACAGAGATATTGATTGGAAAAAAGACCAAAAAAACTCAAAGTAGTCCAAGCATTTACTAGCAATCAAGAAGTTAGCAGATCACAATCAAACCTCAATACAATTGCAACACCATCTATGGCCCAAAAACGTAATAGCTGTTCCAAATACAACCAAAAAAACACTGAAAATTGATAATAATGGCTTT